GGGGGGGGGGTTCCTCTCAAAGTTCTATAAATTGTGGCTGGTACTCAACCCAATGACACCTTTGTGAACTCATGGGATGGGGGAACCCCAAGAAAGACCATGAAGTCTGCTGCTGTCTACAGGGTCTGGCAAGGGATGGGGTCCCGTGGTGGCTGGAGGAGGGCCTGGTGTGTAAAGCCAGTATCATGTGGGGCAGGATGTGTGTAGTCCCAGGGCTTTGCCAGCTGCTCCATCTTCTATGTAAATCTCCATCACTGAAGCCTCTTACCAATTTTTTGTTCGCAGCTCTCCCTCCCACCCTCCCTGTGTTGAGGTTGTAACAGGTCTATTTACTGTTTTTGTTACGTATTATTGTCACAGCTTTGGCAGTTTGAGCATTGGGGTGGATCCTTTTGCTGGGGAGGCAGTGCCTGTGTGCCCTCATCTCATATTCTGGGGACTCCCTTAAAGGGTCTTGGGGTGGAGCCAATTCAATGACATGCCCAGCTTGGGGGCTGTCAGCAGGGCTCTCACTACAAGGGAACCATGCAGTGGCTGGCATCCATGTGGCTCCTTGGGTTTGCTGCTCCTCGGTTGCACCCCCAACAGGCAGGCTGAGGTGTGAAGGTTATCTGGCGGCAGGCAAGTTGCCCAATTCTGGATCCGTCCCCATGCTGTGCCAGTGCTTCTGTGATGTACTCAATAAAGCTCTGGCCTATTTCTTTCTCCAAAAATCTGTTGGTTTTGTGTCATTTCCCCCCAACATTCCCCCACTGTCCCATGGAGCAGCAACATTAACTTGCAGCCATGGCATAATCCCTCAGTTTAAAGTATAGCTGTGTTTTCATTCCCAATTATAAACTGATGTCTTTCAGATCATCAAAACTTGACATGACAAGCAAATCTTCTATATTCGTTTACAACCATATTTTGAGCATGAGTAATTGTGCTACATCTTTGAATGAGGACTTGTTGAATGATACAAGGAAGGGAAATAACAGAATTTGTCACCCTTGGAGGTCATATGCTAAAGATAAATGCATTTGGCTGCAGGAACTTTTAATTACTGGTTTTAATTTTATTTTCACCGAATACTCACAAGGCTCTCGCAGCAGTCTAGTTTGCCCAACACAGTTTGAAAATTATTGCCTTAGGCTATGGTATGGACTTGTTAAACATCAGTAAGAAATATGAGCAGGCTTGGAAACAGAGAACCTGTGGGCAAAGATTAGAGAACAAACAATGGTGTAATGGCACACTCTTGATTCATCAGTTTCAGGTGGGAAGAAGAGGCTATGGAAAGAAATCTTGCTCATTAAAATTTAAGATGGAAAGTGATTTTATTGTTTTTTTAAAAAAAATCGAAGTTTTTGTCTCCATTTGTTTTATAAATAATTGTCTCATAGATGCATAGTATTAAAAATGTGCAATTATGTTATTTATACATTTTACTATTTTTACTATTTCAGGTTTTCACTGGATTGTGATTGTACCATTTTCATTTTGGTAAGTTTTAAATTCATTTTTACTATGTAACCATCTTGGTAAGTTGAATGCTGTGTTGAATCTGCTTTAGTTGTTATTTTCTATGTAGAAAGGATAGGCAACATTTCAACTTTTGTTCCAAGACAAGGCTTCTTCCAGCTGCTGCATATGAAAAAAAACAATGGAGGGGATGGGGCAACCTGTTTGGGGGGCCGTAGCAGTGGACCCCCTGGTCCGATGTTCTTGATACTTGGTTGGTATCTTGGGGAAAGGCTCCAGCAGCTACCCTGCGAGTTTGAAGCCTCTCCCTCAAACCCCTCCCCTCCAACCCCTAGAATTTACCCTATGTTTTTGCCATTGACTTCAATGGCCCATAGGATATAATGGGGCAGAATTGGCAGCAAGCCGTTTCAGATCAGAGAATCTGAATCTGCCTTCAGCAGCCCAAAATGGGTCCGAATGGGCCATTTTCAGGGGTGCATTCGGTTCCGATGAACATTCGAATGCACATCCCTAGTCCCTGCTTGCCTGAGGCTGCTCCATGAGGTCAAGGCAAGACCTCCCCTGTCCTCCATTTTCCCGGAGCTCTGGGAAAGACCCCCCCCTCGTACCTACTAGCCTCAGGCTGCTTCACAGCATCCCAGGCAAGGTCCTCCCCCCTCCCCAGTCCTTCATCCCTATGCATGTGGCAGTGATGCTCTGCATTCTTGGTGCTTCTGGGGTTCAGGCCCCACTGGTGGACCTCCTGAAGGCACCTGGTATTTTTGGCTTCTGTGTGACACAGAGTGTTGGACTGGATAGGCCATTGGCATATGCAAAATCCAGAGGATCAATGAGGATCTGTGCTCCAGAACCACGTTTTTGCAGAATGATGTCACCACTAAGCCATGGATCCGTGATTTTTGTGGTTCAAGCAGTTGCCATAGACATGTTATGTGATCAGATGAGGTGTTTGGAGTGACCCTGTACAAAAACCTTGAGGATCCGTGCTTCAGAAACATGTTTTGGTTTCATGGTTTTGGCACAAAGCTGTGGATGCATGATTTCTGAGGCTCAAGCTGTGCCTGTGGACATGATATGTGATTTGATGGTGATTTTGGGGTGACCCAATTGGAAAACCCTAAGGATGCATGAGGATCCACGCTCCAGAACCATGTTTTGGCAAAAGGGTGCTGCCACTAAGCTGTGGATCCATGATTGTTGTGGTTTGAGCTGTTGCCACAAACATGTTATGTGATTAGATTGTGTGTTTGGTGTGCCCCATTGCAAAACCCTTAAGGATCCATGAGGATCCGTGAATCAGAACTACGGTTTTGCAGAATGGTTTTGCCACAAATTGTGGATCCATGATTTCTGTGGTACAAGCTGTTCCTGTGGACATGATACGTGATTTGATGGTGATTTTAGGGTGACACAGTGCAAAAATTGTAAGGATCCAAGAGGATTCGTGCTTCAAAACCATGTTTTTGCAGCATGGTATTGCCACAGAGCCGTGGCACCGTGATTTCTTTGGCACAGGCTGTGGCCATGGACAAGGAATATTATTTAATGGTGATGTTGGGGTGACAAAGTGCACAAATCATAAGGATCCATGAGGATCCGTGGGTGAAAACCATGTTTTTGCAGCATGATATTGCCACAGAGCCATGGCACCGTGGTTTCTCTGGTGCAGGCTGTGGCCGTGGACAAGGCATATTATTTAATGGTGATGTTAGTGTGGCACAATGCAAAAATCATAAGGATCCATGAGGATCCGTGGGTGAAAACCATGTTTTTGCAGCATGGTGTTGCCACAGAGCCGTGGCACCGTGATTTCTGTGGTGCAGGCTGTGACCGTGGACAAGGCATATTATTTAATGGTGATGTTAGTGTGGCACAATGCAAAAATCATAAGGATCCATGAGGATCCGTGCGTCAAAACCATGTTTTTGCAGCATGGTGTTGCCACAGAGCCGTGGCACCGTGATTTCTGTGGTGCAGGCTGTGGCCATGGACATGATATGTGATTTGATGTTGTGTTTGGGGTGACCCATTGCAAAAACCCCTAGGATCCATGAGGATCCGTGCTCCAGAACCATGTTTTTGCAGAATGGTGTTGCCACAGAGCCGTGGCACCGTGGTTTCTGTGGTGCAGGCTGTGGCCGTGGACAAGGCATATTATTTAATGGTGATGTTGGGGTGACACAGTGGAAAAATCATAAGGATCCATGAGGATCCGTGGGTGAAAACCATGTTTTTGCAGCATGGTGTTGCCACAGAGCCATGGCACCGTGGTTTCTGTGGTGCAGGCTGTGGCCGTGGACAAGGCATATTATTTAATGGTGATAGTAGTGTGGCACAATGCAAAAATCGTAAAAATCCGTGAGGATCCGTGGGTCAAAACCATGTTTTTGCAGCATGGTATTGCCGCAGAGACGTGGCACCGTGATTTCTGCGGTGTAGGCTGTGGCCACAGAGATGGCATATTATCTGATGGTGGTTCTGGGTTGAAAGAGTGCAAAACACATAAGGATCCATGAGGATCCGTGGGTCAAAACCATGTTTTTGCAGCATGGTTTTGCCACAGAGCCGTGGCATAGTGAATTATGCGGTGTAGGCTGTGGCCACGGAGAAGGCATATTATCTGATGGTGGTTTTGTGGTGACACAGTGCACAAATCCTAAGGATCCATGAGGATCCGTGGGTCAAAACCATCCTTTCCGTGTAAAAATCATATGAATTCATGAGGATCCGACCTTTGGAATCATGTTTTTGGCTGTTCTCGTGCCACGAATCCATGGGATCCTGATTTTTGTGGTTCCCCCTATAGACTAACACATGGCCTAAGATATGATGGCAGTTTGATTTCCTTTCCGTGTAAAAATCATATGAATTCATGAGGATCCGACCTTTGGAATCATGTTTTTGGCTGTTCTCGTGCCACGAATCCATGGGATCCTGATTTTTGTGGTTCCCCCTATAGACTAACACATGGCCTAAGATATGATGGCAGTTTGATTTCCTTTCCGTGTAAAAATCATATGAATTCATGAGGATCCGACCTTTGGAATCATGTTTTTGGCTGTTCTCGTGCCACGAATCCATGGGATCCTGATTTTTGTGGTTCCCCCTATAGACTAACACATGGCCTAAGATATGATGGCAGTTTGATTTCCTTTCCGTGTAAAAATCATATGAATTCATGAGGATCCGACCTTTGGAATCATGTTTTTGGCTGTTCTCGTGCCACGAATCCATGGGATCCTGATTTTTGTGGTTCCCCCTATAGACTAACACATGGCCTAAGATATGATGGCAGTTTGATTTCCTTTCCGTGTAAAAATCATATGAATTCATGAGGATCCGACCTTTGGAATCATGTTTTTGGCTGTTCTCGTGCCACGAATCCATGGGATCCTGATTTTTGTGGTTCCCCCTATAGACTAACACATGGCCTAAGATATGATGGCAGTTTGATTTCCTTTCCGTGTAAAAATCATATGAATTCATGAGGATCCGTTTAGATCCGACTTTTACCCAGACCCTCAAGAGTCCGTTCAAGCCTGTTTGGAGATGTCTTCATAGGGCACGTCTTCGTGGCGTCCTTTTAGAGGCCCCGATTCGATGAGTATTGTTGCCGAAAACGTTTTCTCGTTTATGCACACTAAAGTAGCTCCGTTTCCTCTGTAGCCACCATTCAAAACCAGTACCTTTTTGCCTGGTGCGGGAATCACGGTCTCCAGGTGTGTCTGGTCGAGTTTCAGTTTGTCTCCGGAATCAATCAACTTGACAACCGCTGTGTATTTGTTGATTACTTCCTGTCAAAGACATAGATGCTTATTAAAGGAAAGTAAACCTGTTGTCGTAAGAAGAGCCCTGCTGGAAAAGTTCATTTGGTCTAGGATCTTGACTGACACAGTGGCCAACCAGTTCCTCTGGAGGGCCAACAACAGAGCATTGAGGCCGAGGCCGAGGCCTCCCCCTCGTGATAAGGACATCAGAAGAGCCCTGCTGGATCAGAGGAGTGGTCCATCTAGTCCGCTCCTGCAGGAAATGACCCCTGCTAACAACACTGCCAACACCCAGTTAACCCAGACGATGCTATTGGCCGGCTGTTGTCTGAGGATGCGGCTAAATCCGCCATCTGACATTAACTAGCACTTTATATTTCATAATACTCTTAACTGTATTGCTTTGTTTGATCTAATTCTGTTTGAATTCTTTTATGTTTTGTGTGAGCCGCCCTGAGCCTGCCACGTTAGGGAGGGTGGGATATACATGAAACGAATAAATAAATAAATACACCGATCAATGAGATTGAAAGGTGCTTGACTGAGGCCGGCCACACCCAAACAGCCATAGTCTGGTTCACCTGGCAAGCCTCAGAAGCCCCTTTGTGACGTTCATATGGATATGTTCCCGATGGCTTATGTATTCATTGTACACGATGTTATTGTGGACTCTCTTCCTTCCAAATCGTCTTCGGAGCAGTTCTAAGAAATCGTTCCGGAATTCCTCTGAGAAGCAATCCATGAACTGCTGAGGGTTCTCCGACGCAAGCAGTAGCTGTCTCTGGTGAGACTCGGACATGCAGTGACATTTAAAGCCATTCTCGTCCCTGCACTGCTTCTGGCACATCTGGCAATACCAGCGCAGCTTTTGCAGCCCCTTCGATTTGATGCGGTTGGCGATCGCCTTGGGGCTGAGAAAGTCCGTCTTCCCCATGCTGGAAAACAAGAGAAGGGGGGATCCCGCGCCTTCGGTTTGTTTCCTGCTTCTCTCTGGGAGAACAGCTGGCCGGAAAGCGGAAATGGCGAACGGGCTTGTCTCTCCCCTTCTCTCTTGTTCTGCCGCTCTACCCCGGAATCTCTATGATACTCCCCCACTTTTCTCTCGGTCCGCCGATGAACCCCAAACCAGAAGGTCCGCTCTAACCCAACGACTCTATTGCTCAAGCGCCACCTCTATTGGCTGCTTCGGTGCACCGCCGCCTTCAGGCCGATCGAACACGTGGCCGCTTGAGAACTATATTATATTTTATTACGCCATATCGCTCTGTTGTAATTACTATGTTATAACGGATTACTGTTTTGTTTGTTAAAAATTTAAACACAAATAAAGTTGTTCGTTTTAATTCCTGTAATATTTATGATTTTGGCAAAATTCAAACTGGCAGAAGGAAAATTCAAAGTGTGTTTCATATCTAAACACAATTTTTAATACTCTTGTAACTCAGCTGTATTGTAATGTTTTTCCCTGAAGTATAGAATTTACACCCCTCATAAGGTAGAATCAGCCAGATTTCAGACTGATTAGATTAATTGCTTGGATTTTATTGTGAACACAGTTGTGAAGCATTATAATGGTAGAAGACTATTTAACCAACAAGCCTTATCTTATGCAGTCACCCTACAGCATCATAATCAAAAGGAATTAATGAAGCACTCATCAGTAAACTGTTAGAGAACCTAGGAAAATGAATAATCTAATTGGAAATGAAGGGCCTAATGTTATGGCTGGTCTAATATTTGCAAATACTAATCCCGAGTCTGAGAATACTTTTTACAGATTTATTAGAGCAATTTCAGACAAAAGCATGTATTTTAATTTTTCACCATATTAATTTTAATTTTTCACATATTAGAAAGGAGCTGTTCAGAAACTTTTTCTAAAGGAACAGCTCTTAATTACTCCTTTTTTCATCTTACTCCTTCCTAAATATGGAAGGCCTTGGGATGTAGCCAAGGAAAAAGAAAGCATTTATCCAGTTTTCAACTCAAAAAAATGACAAGAATGTCTATTATTTATTTATTCATTCCAAATATTTTGTGCCACCTTTCCACTCAGCTTAGTGACCCCGTGTCAGCGAACAATCAAAAACATTAAAAATACATATATAAAGTATATATTAATACATATTATAAAAGTAATTAAAAACAACCATGGCTACCCTTTGCCAGAAGACGGTGTTGAAATTGCCTTCCAACAGAATTACCAAAAACAAGCAACACTTACGGCAATTGATATCTTTTGGGGGGAAAGCTAATGAGTCCTCCAATTGCAGAATCATCATCCTCATCATAATCTTTGTGGTGCATGGAAATGCTAGGGAATGGGATATGATTAATGCAATATTATTTCAGTTACCGTGAACACAATGCTGGAAGCAAATTCACCTTAAATGTACAGTACAGAAGATTGTGCTCTAGGAATGCAGGCTAATAAGTCAACCACAGGCAAGAGTCTATTCCTCAGGCTGGGGAGCTCTTTTTCTATACCAGCATACTATCAAATTGCCAAAAACAATGCAGACTATTTCTGTCATGCCCTGTTTGTGAACCTGGTTGTACAATTTGGTTGTCTCGGCTCAGAAGGCAGAATACTGAGCTAGTCAATCTATTATTTTGAGTGTTGTGGGTCTGCCTGCCAATGTCTCCTCCTATGAGGAAGAGTCAAAGGAAGTCAGTCCCAGCCCCACCGGACAAAGAAGAGACTGTAGAGTGAGAGTCTTGGGCGGAGGTCAGTATACCACACCCTCAGTCCTGCAGCCTGGGACCAGAAGCCTGAGCCAAGACTATGAAACAGAATGGCAGTTCTGATGGTTTTTAAGACACTCAATTTGTTTGCTTTAACTTGTGTAGAATTTGTCTGCCCCAACGGAAAACTGCTTCTATTTTCAGTTAATGCACTTGGTGCTTCAGTGTTTCAGCCCCTGGGTTTGGTCATGAAGAAGTTTGCCTACACAGTTGAACCTCTGGAGTGCCCCTGTAGTGGGGAACTCTGGCACCTGACAGAACCCCATGTTGGATCTGTAGTTCTGGGGATCTGAGGTAAGGAACTTATATTGGCTGCCTTCTAGCATGTGTGTGGTTCCATCGCAGACTGAGGTGGTGCAAGGTTTGGGAAGATAATGGTGGTGGGAGGAGTGCTGGTGCAGGAAAACATGTAGGGAGATGTAATTGTGCTCACTGCATGCCTAACCTCCATCCCATGCCTCAAAGTGTAGGTAGGGGTGCTCTTTAAGTAGCTCCACTTTAACCTTGGTGTTATGAAATGCCAGGTCTTGAAAAATAAGATGTCAACAATATCTGACCTGTTGCATTAGGAACAGGTGGACATTGCTTGCTTAACTGAAACCTGGCTGCATAACTCCGATGTGGTCACTTCAACACAGCTCACATGAGCTGGGTATAAAGTCTTTCACCAACCTCAAATTGGATAGCATTTGCTTTCCATGATTCCTTCTCCATCCCTAGGTACCTTCTAAAGAAAAAACCTGGCTTTGATTGTATGTAGCTTGTGTTGGGCACCAAGAACAGATCAGGGATTCTGCTGGTGTTCTGTTTTCCCAGTTTACCAGCAGGGTCCCTGGCTGATCTGATGGAGGTGTCAGTTAGTTAGTTTTATTATTACAGTCTTAAGAGCAGCATACAATACAAACATAGCTGATGGAGGTGTTGTCGTCCTTGGGGATTTCAGCATACATGCCAAGGCTGCCTTGTCAGGTCATGCTTCAGTTTTCATGGCCACGGGTATGTCTCAGGTTGTATTGGGCCCAATGCATGAAAAAGGGCATACTCTGGACCTTCTTTTCTGCACCAAGCAGCTTGCCAGTGATCTGATTAGGGTGTTGGAGTTTTAGCTGTTGTCCTGGTCAGATCATTATGTTCTGAAGGCATGGCTGAATACCAGCATCAAGAGGCAACATCAGGGGAAGGCTTTGGCCTCTGTGCCCTACTGTTTGACCTCCAGAGGAACTGGTTGGTTACTGTGTGAGACAGGATGCTGGAATAAATGAACCACTGGTCTGATATTCAGAGCTCTTCTTATGTTTTTATGTTGAGCTTGCTGCCTCCTCCCTACAGGGATGATGGACCAATTCAAATGGTACACTCTTCGAAATTAATGGATCCTGTTGGTTTCCAGATGGCTCTTGGGGATTTTGAGAGCCTCTCAGGTGACTGTGGAGGCCCTTGTAGCTGATTGGAATGATGGGCTGATTGGAGCCATAAACAGAGTTGCTGCTTGACATCCTCTTCCTTGTTCTGTGAGGCCCCCTGATTCTTGGTTTACCAGAGAGCGGGGCTACATGAAGCAGACTGGACTTTGGCAACATTAGTGTTAAGTCCGCTTAACAATGAGTCGGAGAGTGATTTCAGTAAAAGACTCAAGTTTATTCAGCTCTTTCTTCACTTCTTCGACACGGTACAACATCTGATAGCCCGAACAGTTTGCCCATTGAAACTGCCCGGTATTTAAACATTCCCGGCTAACATAGCCACTCCCACTATACACATACCAACCTATCAGGTTGAGCGCATAAGGACCAATCACAAACGTTCCCGCTTGCAGCTTGCTTGAATGTGATTGGGTCGTGCGTCTTGGACTAGAATCCGCTGTCCAAGACGAAGCTTAACATTGCTTCCCTATGGGAGGTTTCCCATACATCCTAATGTACTCATGGCAGCTAAGAATACATTACAATTCCCTCCCCCCTAAGCAAAAATACCTCATGAACAGTCGTAATCACTTAGGTAGGTGGGTGCACGTCTCGTTCTCTGAGACCTACGAGGTGAACTCGTCTCAGGGCATCTGTCCCTCAGTGGTACTCCGTTTGACTCTGGGACCTCAGAGTCAGGAACATCCCCGTCCGTTGCATGCGGTTCGAAATTAGGGGTCTGCCCTGTCTCTTGACCGCTACTGTAGCCCTCAGGCTCTACAGTACCTGCCTCTTCTAAAGGCCATGGGGGTTCCTCCGCGGACTCAGCCGGCTGCACGGTAGGACGGTCAGTTGCCCACCGCTGCCTCAGCTGGTCTATGTGCCTACGCCACTTGCGTCCATCTGCAAGCCGTACCACATACATTCTAGTACCGATAACATCGGTGACAGTGGCTGGAAGCCACGAGTGACCACTGGCATAGTTACGAGCATACACTTGCTCACCCTTTTCGTATGTCCGGACCTTCGGACTCTCGGTCTGTGGTTGTGGTTTCAGATCGTTCAGATCTGGATGCAACCTGTCTAATAGCGTTGCTAAACGGCGACCCATTAACATCTCGGCCGGGCTGCGGCCTGTCGCCGAACAAGGGGTAACATGTTGTCTCAGGAGAAACGAAGCTAGTTTCACCCCCCAATCACCACATACCAGCTTTGCAAGGGCTTCTTTAGTTGTTCTCACCATTCTCTCGGCCTGCCCGTTTGAGGCCGGGTGAAACGGCGCGGCCGTCATTTGCCTGATCCCGTTATCAGACAAGAACCTCCTGAACTCCTCGGAAGTAAATTGTGCGCCGTTGTCACTCACGAGTACGTCAGGCAACCCGTGAGTGGCAAACAACTGTCGCAGCACTGTGACGACAGCGCTAGAAGTGGTCGATCGCATGTGAGCCACTTCTAACCATTTGGTATAAGCGTCTACAATTACCAAAAACATTTGCCCTTGTACTGGCCCTGCGAAGTCGAGGTGCAATCTCGACCAGGGCTTTCCCGCCGACTCCCATCTCTGAGGAGTGGCGGTTGGTGGTTCAGGCCTAGCCTGCTGACAAGGCTCACACACCCGAACCCACTCTTCAATGTCGGCGTCTAGCCTGGGCCACCACACGTACCCGCGAGCTAGCGCCTTCATATGGACCATGCCGGGATGGCCCTCGTGAAGTGATTTCAGCACTTTTTCCCTGAGTTTGTGAGGGACCACCACCCGGCTTCCCCACAAAAGACATCCCTTTGA